GGTAGTAGTAACATTGATGAGTCAGCAACTTTAGTCTTGTTGACAGTCACCATTTCGTCAACATCATATAATCATTCTCTAAAATACAGTAATATTTATACGAATAACTAAGTGTATCAGTCTTAAATTATATTGTCAAATTAAACTAATTAAGAGGTAAATATGTTGACGTAATTTGTAGATGATTACATCATAAAAATATACATCGTATTATTTGTGTTTGATTATAGTACTGTTAAACAATATACATATAAGGTATAGTTCAATTAAAATTGAGATTTAATTGACATATAAATTACTTGTTTTCATAAAAATTTATATTTTAATTTAACATATGATCAGTTAATCTACTTTTAATCATGGAATCAAACTAATTTTAACACTGTATAGTCAGTAAAATAGTTGAATGATAAAGATTTATCAGTATAAAGTTGTGGCCGTCCACTGATCTCATGTTTTTAATGGTGGTCTAACATCAATCGGTTCAAGATCTCAGTCAGTAACTCAATAATCTCCACAACCCTATACTGATAATTACCACGCGCTCACTATTGACTAACTTCATGAAGGAATTCTCAGAGTTCTAGTGAGAAGCCGTGACCAGTAGTTATTCCGGGTCGGGTAGAGATAGGTATCTACCTCAAACAATGGAAGATGGTCGCGCAATTTTGAGGATTGGTTGAGGCTAGACAATAACACTAACATTAACACCCTGGGTTCGAATACCGCCAGCAGGATCGTGGATGCGCACTGATAAAGACTTCACATATAATTGAAATTAACCAGTATAATGTAGTTGTTCAGTTTCGTAATCAAAGTATTAGACATTTAATAAGTCATTGGTGAATTTGAACCTTACTTAACTTCATTTCATCTGTACAACCTTTTGTTATCATTAAGAAATTATATGAAATTACGTAACTGAAACTTAAGCACGTATACATGTTTTTGGTAAGTTACAAATTAAAAGTGTTAATTCAGAAGAGGATGGTCTGTCAGTTAGCTGTGATTAAGCAAGAATTTCCGCTAACCAAATTTATGTATTTATTTGAAAACTTTACAAACTAGTAGAAGGTATAAACGTCAAATGGAGACACCTTGATAATAAGTAAAATTAATGAAAGTCTGTCCGTTGTGTTATCCTCCTTCGAATACTGATTTTAAGTTTTAGTTCACTGACAAAAAAACTACATTGGTTTCATTCATTTTTATGTGTAAAACTCTGTTGAAAATGTAGTGTAATTACATTTCATAATGGTTTTGATTAATTCAACACCACTGAGCCACTTTAATATTGCTCCATAAAAAAAGAAATATGCCTACGTTTGTCTGTGCATCGTACAAAACTGAAATTCACCTCAAACTTTCAATAACTGTACTGATTTTCTAACTTGATAGTCTTGAACATCTTACCAAGTAAAGTTTTATTGATGGCAAGATTCTAAAATATAACTTTTGACTGTACACAATCCATACTGTCTTTTTTCATTAGTGAGTTTAGTGAATTCATTGCTACCGTTTTCTTGATTACTGGAATCTACAGGTTTGTATTCGTACATGTATTTCTCATAGCGCTTAGATCATTACATGGAATGTGTTTCGTTGAAATTATGTGATAAGGTAGACAAAAACATTTTATTGTATTAACTGAAAAAAATCAAATATACAAACTACGCTAAAAGGCTGGCAGTCTAAATATTATGAAACACAAAGTGAAATTCATCTCTTGAAACCTGATATTAATAGCATTACTTATCTTCTTGAGCTATACTCTAATACTTATTATTCCAGAGAAACATCTATCATATGAAAGCCAACCGTTGAAATTATTCACATTTTAAGAAGACAGTAAGAGACAAAGGAAAGTTTGTTCATACAGAATAATCTGATTGATTATTCGAACGTCTAATTGTTTGGTAATTGAGCGAAACAAACAACAGACTAACGTTCGAAAAACGAGGTGGTTAAAATCTATGATTCTATAATAGTAAATTTGAAAATAAATAAAATAGGACGACACGGCTTATTTGCTACATCAGTCGTCTACATATTTTATTAAGTATTATTGTTCGAATCCATTCTACCTCAAAAAGAAATAGATTTTCTCAAGTGTTCATTTACGCTAGTATTCTAAAGTGCGATAAAAGATGGAATTTATTATTCTTAATGTCTGTAACATGATGATATGCTTACATGCTATTCAAGAGGCATACTTATGTCCTATGTATATCTCCATAATTATCTCTTTTAGTAAATCCTCCTTATTATTATTGAGCCTTAAATACCGAAAACAAAGACAAAATAATCCAATATCTTGTACTAATGACTGGGCTCAGTTAGGTAACCAATGAAAACTAAGAATCAGCCGATAGCTTTTTCGTCTTAGTATGATGCTCCTGAACAATTCACATCCACCAGGCCACCAGGAATCGAACACATGATCTTAAAAGCTAGCAGAGAGCTCCTAACCTTTTGACTACCAAGTTGGTATTCGAACACTTACGTTTCTGGCTTCATTTAATTCATAATTTCGCACAACCCTTTTCAAAATTCTTTTCAATTGGTAATTGCTTCACATTTTACATGGTTGAGGTCTACTAGCTATAAACTCTCATTAAGACTTTGGGTATCAGTGAATAGCCAAAGTCCCTCAGTTTGGCAGCCGGTGGAGTCGTCGATGAACACTATTGAGGAGACCCATACTTGCATAGTGTTTCCCCGTTTTCAATAATTGTCTAACCAGTTAGTCTGAAGAAACCTTTTATACTAAAATAACTTCAACTTTCAAAATAATGTTTTCTGTTAACAAATGCTAAATCCACCTATTTAAAAAGAATGGTTAGGCTACTATTTTTGTTGAAACTGTTAAACATACATCAGTTTGGATACAAGTAGGAATTTAGATGACCTTGTGGTTTTCGATCAAAATAAGGGACTCAGTTAAGTGGAAGAAGACTAAAGTATTCTGAATTACCACTCTTTCCTTAATTTTGTCTTCTTTACACCTATAATACTTAATTTCAAGACACTAAGTAGCACGAGTTCGAATCTTCTGTGAAGTATTGGTTCTCCCAAGACTGCACACATGCCTTAATAATACAGTTTCAACTAGTAAAAAAAACTAGGTCTAAGGATGTTTGACGTCCACATTCAAACACCAAAGACCTTACTATGAGTATATCGATTTAGATTAGGCAGTTTGTCTTGAAAGGAATAGGTTCCTGTTGTATTTTAAATATTAGTATTTTTAAATATCATTGTTATGAATATGTATATTTATATATGGACAAACAGTGTCCTTAAATCCACTTTATAAAACAATATGATCGACTGTCATTTGGCTTATTCACTTTTATTAAACAATTTTGAATGATCTTGTCTAATAAACACTTCGTTAATTTAATGTGTATAGGCACATGGATAGATTTATGAATAAATAATTCATTAGAATTTTATTGATTAATAAATTTTATTGAATCTAAAGTATTGTAAATAATTTTAAAGCAACTATATATCATCTTTTTAATGAAAGTTATAGGAACAAATGATTTCAGTGTTCTTTTTTATTGTTTAGAGATAATAAGATATTCAAAAGGACACTTAAATGTGCGAGTCAATCTTAATTTAAATAATTCTATTTCAATAGTTGAATTTATGAACCGATCAACGTTAGATCACCAATGAAAATCTGCAAGCACCGGACGGCCGTTTCATTCTAGTATAGAACACCTCGGTGGTATGCATCCACGACTCCGCACACGGGACTCGAACCCAAGACATTCGGTCCCGCTCCCGGATGCTCAAACTCAAGATCATGGATCAATTGAAGCCAAACATTAACACTTTTGAATGCCGACTCAATGGTCTAGGGGTTAGTCGTTCGTGTGTGGGACTGAATGTCCTTGGTTTAAGTCCCATGTGCAGGATCGTGGATACTAACCATAGAAGAGTCCTATACTAAAAAAACAACCGTCCAATGCTTCTAGGTTCTCAGTGGTGGTATAACATTGATCGGTTCACGATCTCAATAATAACTAATAACCTGTTTCTAATGTACTTTTCAAATAAAGCAAAGATTCACATTTAATCGATTTGTAATACAGGATCCAATCACTGATAGATTGTCTGACTACTAATAATTATTTTAAATGAGATAAATATGATATTGATATACAATTAAATTCTTCAAGTCTATAACATAGTTTACAGTTAGTCTATGGCTGACGATATATTTTTGATAAACAGTCAAAACAGAAACCGTTAAGAAGACTATAGATGTATGTATGTGTAACAGTGATTTGATCAATCATAAATATATCAGCTGGAAATAATAAGATATAACTGATACAACTGCCAAAAAGTCTGACATATATATACATATTTAGGATTAGTGTTTGTGTTACAAATTATCTAAATATTTAGAAAATAAGTACTAAATAATCTTTGGACTATTAATTAGCACGTATCTGTATGAATTTTGACAATCACGATTAACATGAAATACTTAATGTTTCACAACAAATTTTGCAAAATGATGGCTATTATGACCGTAGATGTTTAATAGTACAAAGATTTTGGTAAATTATTTCAAGAGAAAATTAGAGGAATTCCGGTAGGAAGTTGTGACAAGTGAAATTCAACTATGAACGATGTAAGACAGCTACTTACCGATGGACTTGTAATGTGACTGTAAAATTTCGCGAATTGATTAAAATAAGGAATGTAAATCGATAGGTGACAGTTAAACGATTTAACCGTTAGGTTCTCATCAAGAAACTTAAGTCTTAGACTCGATCTTCGGTGTGCTCATAATAATTGCTGTTGATAAGCTCCATAATTCAATGATACAATTGTTCGATGCTTCCTCATAATCAGTGGTTGTTTAACAAAGAGTAGTTCCTGTTGAAAATGATGAGGTAAGTTGAATGGAACTTATTAATAATGACCTAAATACGTCTGATCTTCAAAAATTCTAAACATATGACAAAAATAAAACTTACGCTCCACGTAATTCAACAGCATGATCAAAATCACGAGCTTTCATTGCTTCAGCAACTTTACGTGTCTAAAAATTGAAAGATAATATGATCTAATCACATTTAAATAAAGTGATTGTTTGAAAAATTATATAATCCAAGGTGACTTTTATTTAGAGAAACAAAGTTAAGGAAATATCAAGTCAACAGATACGGAAACAAAGAGAGTAAAGACAGGAATGAACATCTGAGGTAAGAATCCGTTTAAGGTTAAAGCCAGGCAGTACCCTAGAAATATATATGCTTCAACGACTCAAATGTTTAAGTTTCGTGGTTTTCAATCACGTTTTTCAGCTGAAGATAATTTATAACAAAAATTACTTACAGTCAATAACAAAATATACTTTACAAGATTTACCCACAACAAAATACACATGCTTAAAATACACTTTAAATTATTACCTAAGTGAAAATGTCGAAAACGAAATCCTAGACATGTTTCATTTAGTTCACTACCTAAAATCAATATGTAAGTTGAACTACTGAACAGTGAGATAGTTTCTATCCGAAATGCATATTCGGAGTGTACTGAAACATCAAAAGGGTTTTGTAAGCAAACCAACTGATAAATAACTGGGCACCTCATAACTACCTTTATCGACATAAATATATTCAACTACAATATAGTATACAATATAACGATGAAACGAAGAAAGGATGGTACAATTCAACGCTCAGTTTATAAGAAAGACACATGGAATGGGATTTATCTCAATTTCAACAGCTTTTGTCTGATCAATTATAAAAAGCACTTGTCAAAACATTGTTTCACAGAACAGAAAGAATATGTACTGCCGATACAATAGAAGAGGAAGTTATGAATGTTAAAAAGTGTTTAGGGAATAACGGATACCCATTGAAATTTATTGAGAAATATGGAAAACGTGCAAATAAAATACCCAAAGAAACTACAGTAAGCAAAAACCCTGTTTTTATTCAACTCAAATTCAAAGGTGATAATGTCACAGGGTCAATCAATATGAGACTAAACACTGCATTGACAAAAACATATCCTGCAGCTAAATTGATTATCCTGTCCAAAACAACATGTTCTTTGACACAATCAAAGGTCGACAGGTATCTCTTTCATGTTACCACCAACTGTGTATACAAATTTACATCTTTCCGCCAAAGCAGTTACATTGGTAGAACAGAAAGGACGTAGGCTCTCCTACGTCCGATTCAAAGAACATATTCCGAAGAGCTTGAGATCAAATGGACTAAAAGCATTCAGCAGCGCTATCGCAAGACATCTCCTTGACACAGGACACGAAGTCGACATACTGAAGTCCTTCAAGGTGATCAACAAACAATCAAATTCATACCATTTGAAATTTGCCGAAGCAATAGCAATCAAACGTTTAAAACCAGATCTTTGTATACAAAAAGAAACAGCAATAAATCTTTCTTTTCCCTGGTAACATTACCCCCCTCCTTTTATTTATTACGTCATTCCAACACTTTCTGAATTTTATAATTACGTCACTCATAACTAACCAATTTCAATTCATATCTCTCTTTGTTACCATTAATCTATTTTCAGTTACTTCATTACATAATCATCTAATGTGTTTTTAATTCCATCCGTTCTAATCACTATTTCTATGTTATGGAATCTTCCCTCCCAAACTCTACATATTCGAAACAAAAATTTTATGACCTCATTAACTCTAACAAAATCTTTCCTACATCATGTTACATATATTCATCCTTCATCACCCTCTAATGTATAAGTATGTCAATAACTGTAATAACGTTAAATTTCAAATATTTTAGGTTGTAAGCAGCTGATGAGAACCTAACGAAATAAAATGAATTCATATTATTCTGTACCAACCTTTGTTCTTGCTCTCTTTATAAAGAATTCTAATAAAGTCAATCAGCTCCAAACTGTACTACAACAGACAAAATATTTTAAGGAATGCATATATATATATATATAAAGAGAGAGAAGGTTTGAGTTTTAATGGTACCAACATTTTGAACTGGTTTCGATCAGACTCTGTCAGTATATGTTCATTCTTAGCGGGTTGCCTTGATAAGGACCTTGGTAACAGGTTTTAGTAAAGTTCGGTAATGGCTAGTGATCGAATTTAAGACGTATTTTCCGTTATGTTTGGGACTCATCAGCTGGATGCATTTGCATACCAGTGTTGGCGTCCACGATAGAGACTCGAGCTCAGTACCTTTCGCTTCAAACTCCAACGTATTGTCCACTGAGCTACTGGATGACGTAGACAACTTGTAGGCTTTTGAAGCGAACGGAACTGAGTTCGAGTCTCTAAATAGAAATCAGCGATGAAATACAAGTAAATTCAAGTGAAGAGTCCCAAATAGGACGAAAAAAGCGTCCTTGATTCCACTGCTAGTCACAATCTAGCTCTACTAAAAATGTGTTTGACAAGTAGTTAACTCTTACTTAGTGAACTATTTCAAAATATAAGTTTACTTAACGGATAGTATAAACACTGCACTAAGATAAGTAGTAACTATTACTATAGTTTTATTTCAATTTATTAACAAATAATCTGAAGTTAATTTTCATTATATTAGCTAAAAAACTATCAAAAGCCAAGGTGACAACAATACTCTCATCTAGTTTGATTTAGAACTTTTTACGGTGCTAATTCAAAACATTAATAGGGTTTAAACTTGAGGTTTCTAGTTCTCATAGTGCACACGATATAAGTAGAGTGCGGAGTCATAATCTAATGATTCCCATTACTGAATACAATTTATAAGTTAGTTATGCAACCCTTATTCAATGACATGAGTGATATATATCCAATGCTTAACATGTTTCAACTTCCCCAGTTCTAGTTTTTTAATAAGACTCTGAGGATCTATCTCAGAGATTTTTATTAGTCATCATATGATTATTATCAAGCTGAGCCTTTCATTTTAATGTTTTAGCAGAGGGCTTTACTCGGTGATGCAAACTCCCTATCATAGTAGTAAATGAATGCTCGAAATATGAGCGAATTATTTCATTAAACAAGTATAAACCACTTACTCTCTCAACACACTTCACAAGTGGCACACGAACTGCTTGATTGCCATCTAAACTAATAACACATGATGGTAGATTAGGATCACGATCAGCATCCATTAGGGCTAGAACAGCTTCAGCTCCCATACGACTGCCTAAAATACGATCAAAGGCTGATGGTGAACCACCACGTTGTACATGACCCAAAACAGTTATACGTGTATCAAGTTGAAGTTCTGATACTATTAAATTTTTCACCAATTCACAAGTGATTGGGTTACATCCTCTATCGATAGCACCTTCAGCAACCATAATTATATTGACACGTTGTCCATGTTCACGATTCTGATTATCAAAAATAATACATATGAAAAAGAGATTGTACAGAAGTATAAAAGCAACGGTACCATTTACAAATACTGTTCATTATTAATTAGCAAATTAAGACAGATCGAATAATTGTTGAGGATATTGCTGTTGTTACTAGTTTAAAAATATAAACAAATAATGGGAAACTCCCACTAAATTTATTTTGATAATAATTATGATTATATATTTGTTAATTGTCAAAATATTGCTTGTACAAGTTGTGCAGTAATTGAATATTTACAGTAATCAGTCGTTGAGAAGCCAGTAGGTGATCCGTTTGGTTCATGAACATAATAGAATTCCATTAATCAAGTTTGAATGTGGCTACTGAGTTGAGTTATTCCGAAAAATGGTATCTTTTGTTTGTTTGTTTTTCTTAAAACATTTGGCTGGTAGAAGCAATAGAGAAGTTTCAAATCTAAATATAATTTTTATTTGGCATTGATTAGTAAGACGAACAATTAAAATTTTGATGGAAGAAATGATTCCCAAAGAATTCGAACTCATAACACCAAATATCTGATACAAAGATATTGTTATTGGAATACACTCATGTTGCAGCTAACTTCATAGAGTAATAAAATATATATAATAATCTATTAATGAGCGGTAACTATTGTTAAGTTGTCTAGTCCTTCGGAGTAACCAAACTCTGTAGAGTTTATCAAGTTACAATGATACAATGTGAAAATATTACAATCGAATTTATGAACATATATCGTTTTTTTTACTGATGCTATACTGTACCAAAACAAAAGTATTTACTTGATGTATATGTATGTTTGTAACAAAGTACATACTTAGATTCACAATTTTTGCATGATACTAATTTCATTAATAGATGTTATAACAGACGATGAAATCATCTGTTTTATTATAATATTGTTGTAACCTGTAAATTTAGTTATAATTTTATAAGTTAATGAAACAACTTTGAGGTTTCCTTTCGAATGTCCACTAATCACGACCTAACATGTGATGTGGAGTCATTTAGGCTAGTAGGGGAATTCGTAAGTTAATCGGTAGAATTCGATCATCGTTAGAGGATTAGACAAATATTTCAGCTTTCCAGAGGGTCATTCGTAACCTGAACAGCTCCATGGTAGTTTCTCAGACTGAAAAGATGAATGATGTGGGTTAATCCTAATTTTATAAGGAGAATGAGTTCCTTCAAGACTGAAAATATGACTTGTTAATGACTATCAACTAGGATAAAATCTAGGTTTAGTACGTATTCAGCTAAGTACCTAAAACTTAATGGAGCAATTTTTATATTTTATCGAGGTGAGTGAACACTTGGACAAAAAAATAGAAATAAAATAACCAACAAAAACAGACTACATTTGACTAATACCCCTAAATTGTACGACTATTAATGCTAATCAATCTAAATAGAGTACAGTTTTTAGTGAACATCAACATAGTGACGGAGATATATCTAGCTTACGAGTCCCAAGTAGGGCGAAATGAGTGTTATGTATCTTTCTGACAGCCACTACCTCACTTTAATAAAAGTTTGCGACAAAATGGTAAACTTCGACTCAGAACTACGAAGACAATTCATTTAATATTTTCACCAGAACTTGTTATCGTGATTATATATTCAAACATGTGTAATTCGAGTGAAGTTGAAATTCTTTCAAAAATTTATGGATAAGTTCCGATATCTTGAACTGAGAGAATGCAAAGAATACCAGAGAATGTTTAAAATATTAGCACTTAAATCAAGCTGTAATCAATAAACCTACTGAATCAGAAAATAATTTCTTCAGCGAAGGAATCTTTTTTAATGAGTTCATTTTCAACGATGCATAATCGTATTTATGTGTACCTGATTAATTACATGTCTGTGAATAATTATCTTGAAATACATCTAATTTACAAATCAATTAGAAAGCAAACCTATAAACAACTATAATATCATAAAGTGACCTTGTTTAGAGAACCACTGAAAGCCAAAGAGCGCTAGACAGCCGTTTCGTCCTAGCATGCAATGAGCATCCACGACCTCATCAGCACACGATCCCAATAATTTTAACGGATCTCCACAAAATCGTTTCATTCAATATAAATTTCGTTTAAGAAATACTTTTACAAATCTACACGAGTGATTACTTACCATTCGAAGTTTATGACACAATTTCTCACGCCAATCATCAGCTGGTGGCATTTCTGGTATAAATACCCAATCAGCTTCACATGCCATAGATGCGACAAGTGCTAGATAACCACAATGTCTACCCATCACCTCTAAAATAAAACATCTTTGATGCGAATGAGCTGTGGTAGAGATTGCATCAGTCGCTTCAATAATCCTATGCAATGCTGAGTCTGCTCCAATTGTCATATCTGTACCACAAAAATCATTGTCAATACTACCGACTAAACCGACAATATTTAAACGATGAAATTGTTTGGCATTTTCTGCACTAATTTTACCTGTAATAATAATAATATGTAAGACATAATGTTAATTAGCTACTGAAAAATATTAATGGAATGGTAGTTCAGTTATTAGAATATTTGAATTTTACAACCGATTGTAGGTCGAAGTTCTGAACCCTGATCTACTTTAGCTTGAGGAATCGTATAGTGATACTAGCTCTCACATAAACAAAGAGGCACAAATCAGTACGTGATAAATAAATTACAGGAAATATTAGCACAGGTATATTTAATAGTGTTGATCATGTTATATATTTATTTGGCCTATTTAAATATTTAAGTATTTACCAAGTATCTGCTAACATGTGAAGTCAATGAAGTTCAGTAATGTGGGCTACGAGACAGGAATCAGTGGTGGCAGTGAACCAGAGTCAAGTAAAATCACGAATCAATTAGAGTATGTGAATTGTTGCGGCCTGGGTCATTGACATAAATAGTAACACCCCGATAACTCCGTTAATACTGGGTTCGACTTATGAGGATGTATTGGGTATGCACTGTTGTGGAGTCTTATACTACTACCGATTCTCCATTTAGTGGTTTTCTAGCTGTGATCAGTTAGCGATGTAAAACCACAAACTGAAAGTGTAGAGCCAGCCGAAAAACGTTAACTACTTTAAGGAAGTATTTGATATTCAAAACTGTCCATTCTTTATCCTTAATAAAAAAAATAACTTCTAAATAAATAATATATTTGTAATATCCCAATGAGTAGAAAATTAGATTTTCCACTCATTGGGATATTACAAATATATTATTTATTTATAACAATCAACCCAATGCTGAATTTATTCGAAATTATAAAATCAAACCTTGGTAATGATACCTACAAAAAATAACTTCATCAATTAGATTAAAAATTATTACTAGGAAGGTAAACTTCATTTTAATATAAACGAATTTCACATATATACATATAGCAATAAAACTTACCTAATGTGACAAGTTCTTCCAATAGATTTGACCATTCAGCTCGAAATAGATTAGCACCGGTTAAAGAACCATCACCACCAATAACCACTAAATTGGTAATTTGATTTTTGACTAAATTTTCAGCAGCTTTTAAACGTCCATAACGTTCACGAAAATCCATGCAACGAGCTGATCCAATCTTGGTACCTCCCTAAACATAATAATACATATAAATGAAATTATAATATCACATTTGATTCTTTCATCATTTTAAAAATATATTTTACAATTTATTCCACTTACCATTGAATGTTGACCATGTATATTAACATCTATAAGTAAGGTAATACAGTTTGTGAGCAAATTCGCAAATTAATTTATAGTGTAAAGTTATAGAACAGACGTTAGTCTGTTCAACGTTGTATATTCCTAATGTATGCTATGAAGATCATGTAACGCAATATATGGATTGCATCATAAATTGGTTCGAGACTCTAAATATCAGATGAGGTTGTGTAATAATCCGGGGGTTAGAGAAGAATGGAAGAATGAAAATGATTTACGGGGCAGAATTATGAAAGATAATTGTTCGTATATAAGGGATTTAGGGACAAGGAAGGATGAGAGGTTGGGTGCATCGTTATCGTACGCAGCGTTCGGGCTTCAAATGGTGGATCCACTTTCTTTTTTATCCTTTCAAAGAAATATATTTACCACACAACTCTAAATACGAATGTACAGCTTAAGTAAATAGTTTCGTTTAAAAGAAAATTTTCTTCTCTGATTCTCTTTATTTTTATTGAATGTCACAATGGGTTATTTTAGGTAATTTCACTGTATGATTTTCCCTCCTTTCACATGCTCACAACACCGTTGTGTTGTTCTTTGTGTAGTCCAGCTCTAAATCCTTTTAATATGCAACAATATTCTATATTTAAATGAAAAAATACTCATATCAAGCTGAACTCAGAATTCAAATAAAAATAGTTCACACTTCTACGGTACTAATTCCTTCATATCATAGTTTCAAGATTTATTTTGCAAAATTACACTGAATAATACAGTTTGCTCTTTCGAGTGAAAAGGTGAATCTGTGAAGCCATTAGGTGGTATGTAAAGACTATATGAATTATGTTTATGAAGACTAACGAAAGTTTGTTTTTTCTATCTAGTTAAGAGTAATTCATTGTCAAATGCTATCTGGTTTTGAACAGTTGCACAGTTGCAATCATTCCGCCATAAAACTTTTCTCTGTAGTGATTTTTTTCCCATAAACTACACGATTAAGTAATTATTGTGTTAACTAGTGAATTAATATCGAAATATGAATCTCTCGATTTTTGATGAGAAATGGCGTTTGGCCGAGTTCAGAGATGTCAGAAGTGAAATTGATTTTAATGGTTTCATTGAAACAAGGAATATAACGGTGTAAATAAAAAATAATCTCCACTAATCTTCCTAATATCTTCAAAGCAGTGATTCCTAGTATACATGGGAACACTATGTTGAAAGTCAACATCTTTTTTCTAGTTTCACACTGAAAACTATGAAACTCAGGCATATGTTGACTTAAAGAGTTATTGGATGCCAGTTAGATGAAATAAAAGGAGTATGATGTAATCATTCTGGTCTACGAGAACATGGTCGTCCATTCAAATGATTTTGCTTGATCGAGTAACATGTTAGGTAAGGTTTCAACATTTTAGTCTAACCAATCATACTTTATGCGTCCAGGCCGAACAATGACAAGATTACTTCATGGTTTTTTTGAAATAAATAGTTTCATAATTTTCCAGAAGGGATTACGGATATTGTGGAAAAAGGTAAGATTTTACTGGACCATTCACAACATTATATATATATATATATATATATATATATATATATATATCTTACATAATGCATTGACTCGGAGTGTTTACTTTATTTTCAATGAGCTTTAGCATCATAAAGTTTTGGAAACAATCATAAAATCATCCACATAACCTTTCAGAAATTTTCAATACTTCTTAAAAGTTGTTTTTTCTTAAGACAAACATTAATCGCAGAGTTTAGTACAAATCCACTCAACAAATTGTAGTAATGGATAGTTGAAAATAATTGGAAAAAACACAGTGGACCTTGATTTCCTGGTAATTGGTACCAAACAGTAAGATGTATCTGTAATCTTTAGTGGACAGATGCTTATGAGTGTATTTAAAGCTGCATCATCCAGGTTCATAGTCCGAGATCTTACCAATGATTCGTGAACTTATTATGAGTTTGCTTATTATTTATTAAGTGTTATCGTACTACGATTGTTACTGCTAAATAAATGTGTAATGTAGCTGTTAACCGTGTTTAAGTCTTAAGAGATAATACATAACAATCCGCTAAATAATTTGGAGGCGATATCTCACAGGTATAGTTTTCTGAACAACCTAGATTATCTTAAAAACGTCTTTATTGTTTCATTCAGCCTTTTGATAAATGAATCAATAAACCAAAAATCAAGGTGACAAAGAAAAGAAGAGAAAGCCTGGTTAGATTGATGTAATGAGTTTATTTGTTTCGCCTACCTTGTTTTCACCTTTAAAAACAGTGAAAAATAAATGTTGGATGAAAATAGTTCCATTATTACATGTCTGAAGATGAGCACAATTACATTAGCTATTCATAATGAAATAAATTATTGTATACACTTACTAATTGGAGAATACCAGAAACATCTGCCCACGATGCTTCCTGAATATTGTTACCACCATCTACAAGACCTTGATATCCTTCTCTGATGAAAAATACTCGGCATCCGCAGTATATTCCCATACGGACTACAGCTCGTACAGCTGCATTCATTCCTTGAGCATCTCCACCGCTTGTGAGAACAGCGATACATTCACCATTAAATTGTCCTCGGGCAACATATTTACCTTCCATACCAGGTAGCCATTCTGTTGCTCGGCGCTCAAACCTTCAACGAAGTAACAAATAGCCCCCGAAATATTTTAAATTGACCTTACTGAATATAAGTAAAAAATCTAATTATCTCAAAACTTGAGAAAACATCGGTAAGCTAGGAAGTGATAAATAATGTAAACAAACTCAAATGCATACTCATCGAATTGGAACACATTGAAAACTAATAATACTAAGTGTTAACCTAATCAACCTGACAGATATTTACGAGTAATTACCTATGATTTCGAATAACCAACTATGATAGAAAGCAATAATCAAACCAATACTATTAACAACCAAAGTATTTGAGCGATTGGTATTGTGTTAGTTGAACAAATATTTCAAACATAACAAAACATGCTTCTATTCCTTATTTTCTGTACACCTTTTTCTGTTTCAAAACACTGTCATTCCGTCTAATTTATCTGTCGAATTATATAACTTGATTGGTAGAACTACTTAAAACTGTCGGACAAACATAATTTTAATTGCCAATAAATGACGATTTAGCCAAGTTAGCCTGCTTCATCAAAAAAACCGCTTGCGATCTGACGTATTAGTGAGATTCGTGATCTTATAACCAAATGACTAAAAATCGAATTCTAAGCAGAGCATGAGTCTCCTAATGTTCTCATAAATATCTAATTAGTTGGTAAATGCAAATTGCATCAAGAACTAAACGAACAAACACAAATCAAGCATGCAGTAATAATCAAGATACAATAAAATTTCCAATATATTTTACTTATTCTAAAAAAATTGATGAAGGTTAAAGTCTACTAAAATGGAGATAAAATCTATTTACACACGTAGAGGAGCCTTTAAATTTTTTTAAATAACTCAGACGACTTCAAGTTGAAAATATAACAAAGGTGATAAATTTTATTTTAATCAATTAGCGTTATTTAAAAGCGTCCACAGAGCTCACGATTCTACTTCACAGCATCACACGTAATTCTTTACTTTTATTCTCATAGATCCTCAGTACAATTTTAAATTATTTCTACTATAATAATCATGTTTGAACGTTAGAATAGACAGATCACAAATACAAATACAACCATAAATCATTTGGTTATAACTTAGTGGATCGACATTAACATGCCGATTCCAACAGCAAAATGTCCTGGATTTCATTTCAAAAATGATAGAACTTTTTGCGTGGTTCTTAGCATACAGGTGGTATTTTAAAAGCGGACAAGCTAACAAAAAATGGCATTTATAAGCTCAATTCTTAAGGTTTTAACTAAAAAGTTAATTTGAAGCCTTGAAAACAAAAAAAGTAGAAAATTATATAGCATTTGCTTAAAAATATATTCGGCATTCCAAAAATCTAGATGCAATGTTAGGGAACTAAATTTTACAAACAAGAAAGAACCTGAGTATCAGATTTCAAAATGATATATTTTCCATGATTAAGTAGAATCTATTTTCAGTGAACAGTGCGGTTATAGTGTGCAAGTGAGTTCTAAAGCTTTTAAATATGCTTGTTTGGACTCATAAGTAGAACAAACTTCCCCGTCAAAATTACGTTAATGACTTTAGACATCAAAACAAAGTGATTGTCACCTTTAGGCACCATGCAGCTGAAAATATCCAATACTGATAAATTGAAATATTTTCCCTGAACTGTTAACCTCCATTCATCATAGCTTATGCTATGAAAAATTTGCAAGTGATCAAAATGTCCGAAATATGGATGCACCAAACAATTACAAAAAATACAAATAGGTAATATAGTAAACATTTCTTGACCTAAACAAAATACAGTGAGATTATTTGCAAGTTCTCTTTTAAACAAATAGAATTAACTCATATCACTAACAAAAGCCGGTTCGAATACTCAGATTTGCTCAAACAGTGGCATGTACAACTAATATCTTTACTCAAATGAATGATTAGAAAATTGAAGCAGTAATTCATACACCGGTGAGCTTAAAGCTAGGTGTTTGGACAAATGATCCTCAGTTTCTTCAGTTTTGGTAAATAGAATAAAACAGATAACGTAGCTAATCCATGACCATGCCAGTGGCATATAATTTTATAACACTATTATTTTGAAAACTAATTCCATAAATCAATCATACGTAGCCTACTATTCGTTACCGTCGTAAAATAGGCCATGTATGTTCTTTAATAAAGTTGAAAGGTATAAACCTTTAGTTCCTCAACTGTTAATTTAGATCTTACTAAAGTATTCAATGGGAAACAATACTAGGAGCTGAAGTGGAACAAAAGTTTATGTCAATTAATCTAAATTTATTCCGTAGCAATATCAGTTATAAATTACGGTGACTTGGTCCTTATTGTGGTAAGTGAAACAATTGTATTAATTTTAATACCAATGAACTGGAAACGATATGTAGTGTAGTTGCCTGAAAGTTGATAACTAAGGATCCCGAAAAGTCAGCAAGAATTTTAGCTTTCAAAAAAATGCAGGACTTGAATAAGCATTAGTTTAAAAATAAGTCATCATCAACTTTCTTACCCTCAGTTCAGTAACACAATAATTTAGGGGCCTTTGGTAGTTAAGATTTCAAAACCGCTGCTCACCGCTGTGTGATAGTAGCCAAGGTTTTAAAACCCTCTTGGTTAATAAGAGTCGTTTAGCCATATCGATACGAAAAAAATTAACTTCGTATTCAGTTTTCATTCGTTTGAAGCTTGGGTATCTCATACAAGCAGCCACTCCTTAACTAAAAAGAACATTGTTGTTGGAAAAGGTTCAAAGGACTAAAAATAAGTTGATTTATGGAACCGGCAAGCTCCTGTATGACGAGACACTGGCTAGACGACAACTATTTCTCTCATCATATAGAAGGACAAGAGGTGGCAACATTCAAATTGCTTAATGGGAATTTTGGATCTGAAGTGCACTCACATTTTTATCTTTCAAAATAAAGAATTTACGAGGTCACTAGGAATGTACACATGTCCAGAAAAAATTACCTGTCAGTTGACTATCAACTTTCCCATTTAACTATCAACGAATAGAACTCGCTACCTCAACAAGTGAATGAATCTCTATCTGTTAATGCACTCAAAAGGAAGTTGGATTACAGAGGTTTGCCAAATGAATCACAAAGACATTACGAGAGAAATGGATAAAAATTAAATACCTGAAGGATGCTTAGAAAGACCCACAGATGTAGATTTAAAGACGTATTTCGTAGTGAAAACAGAGAGAATCCAAATTAAATTATTGCTTATGTTGTGCAAAACAATGAAGATAACATTTCATCAGATATATTCATTTATATTTTCCAAAGGTCAAGTATTGTCAGCCGGATGGAAGTTGGAGAGTTTTGAAAATACGCAGGAGCATATGTTACCGTCTGATTTCGTCTAATTACAGCTAACAAGCTGATATCATATCTACGCAAAACGCTGGTAAAAAAATGGACGAAAGCCAACGTTAGCACAACTATAGCTACTTTCATATACATTTTCCGTATTCAGAAATGAGATTTATAAGTTTAAAAGCACACACAAACGAAAGCACCCAGGAGTAAATCAGCAACAATTTAAAGTCCAAAAATCATTCGATTTAGTTAAATAATGTGTAAGACAGCAGTAGTTTGAGTTTTAAAACAAAACTAGCTAACAGGAATCTAAATAGCTTATTAACTGATCATTCACCTAATAATTCAGATTTTGACGCTATAAGCTTACCAGCGTGATCTCCTGAAGTTTAAAGAATGAAAATGGTAATTAGATTAGTTTAAAATGATTGAACGTAACAATAGCGAACAATACTTCAAAACTTACCTTCTACCTTCCATTTTATGTTTGAATGTTTATCAGATAATAAACGTAAAACTTTTGTTTCCGGAAATCAAAACAGTGATCTGAAGCCTTTGGTTGTGTTAATCTGCAGATATCATAAACAACAGTCACGTACACCAAGTAAATAATGGTATAAAGAGACGCTCACAATAAGTGGCTTTAAGTTATGCATTATAACAAAATAATGCTATGTCGAAGGGATATTGATGAGATTTTCAGTCACACTGATGTAAATACATTATCTAGTGAAAAAAGACAGTATAATGGCGTTATTGTGAAGTATCTTTCTACTTTGAACGAAAAGTAGTGATAATATCAACATTCCAAAGCAAAATGTATCTGTATAGTCCACAAATTAAACTATTAACAACCGTTTATTGACAGTTATTTTAATGTGGCTTGTCAAAATATCTGGTTACTTAATCATTTTTCCTCATCATAATCCCATTTTGCTTAACACCCAGGTAATCTACAGGTGCATTTTGATTTCGAACTTTTTAAGGAACATGCCAAAAATTTTGAAATTATTGCATATATTTTTCATCCATTTGCTTTCGCCTTTTTACTTTGCCTTTCAGGCTATCGAGTCTCGAAGAAATGTTATCAACCCCTTGATAACATTTGGTGCTCAACAATCCCATCTGGTTTTGTATCATATCGACGTGGCGTTGGTTTTAATGGGTGGGTGATATAGTGGTATTAGTTCCCAACCACACGTTCTTCGAAACTTAAAGACAATAATTGAGATTTGTATTCAACATCCAACATCTAGAGAGGGCCAAAAGCGGTGAACGCTCAAATGCATTGACAGGACCCTAACAGCAACCGGTGACTGTTACGATAGAATGAAACATTAAGTATGGTGTGGCCTACAAGCAAGTTGTTATAGATTAGGTTATCCATCATGAAAAACATACGATTATAGACTCTGTTTATTGATGTATTACCATGGATAAGTGTACTAATACTGATCTAGTCCATGATTTTACACACCTAAAGAAAATGAATAGACAGTGGAGCTAACTGCTGTACTTATCGTATGATGATAGGTGAACGAAAAGAAATCTCCTAACACTTCGCATCTGACTGTTGTTACCGACGTCACACAATGACACTGTAAGGCCAGCGAAATCCCACTGAGCCTTAGACAAATCATTCGGTAGTTCGGTCACTGAATATCGAACGAATCATCAATCCTCGTCGAGGTCAAGGACAGCCAACGCTCATCGGTTATTCGTACGACATGGACTGGCCCATGCGGCAGTGGTCTTGCCTTCGCTTGTATCTACTTTAACTAATATATTTCTGTAATAACGTCCTCTGTGTTGTACGGTCTTCAAAGCATCTATAGTACCTTGATACGTCAATGGGGTAATCCACGTAAGGTGCAGACCGCGAAGTGTGACTTCGACGTTAGCTAGTTTGTCACACCACTCACGTCTAACTCGAGTAAGCCTCCAATCATTTCGACATAGATCATCTATGTTGGTGATCTACAACACGAACCCAAGTATGATACACAAAATTAATCTGACAAATTATAGTATATGTTTTATTCAAGACTGTTGTCAACTTAGCACTAAGCACGCTACTCTATCTTCAAAACGAACGTGAAGAGACTCTAAGGGTGAGCATCACCAAAATATTTGTGTTTTAATTTCTTGATATCGATGCTGACCTAATAAGTTTTTCTGAATTCACCTCTGGTTAAGATTCCCCAACCAAGCACCCACGCCAGACGAAGTTTACGTGCATCATCCCGAATATGCAGGATGATTCTCAGATCCACACACTGGGGTACACTGATCCAAATATACGTTCACACTCCATCATTTATTACTTTGGGATCATTTCACAAGAAGAAATTTAGGGTAGTGGTGTTATCAAATTATGCGTGTCCATAAAATTTTCAAGAATGTTTCCACTCCATTCCACATTGGCTTCAAAGAAATGACTTGTCGGAAGCTAAATTATCAGCCATGTCAATATTTCCATATGAGAATCAGCATAGAACGCTGGAACTTTGTAGTCTATAGAGCTATCACGTGATTTCTCGGTTAGGATTACGCTTGTACTTTAAATTTAAAGTTGTAGATACGTATCGACCATGATACCGTATTCATATATCTTATTTATTAATTGAATGCTCTGTTATGTAGTTTCTCTTATATTCATGATTACTCATGGTATTGTAGCGTGGTGTCGAGTTGAGCTTGACTATGAACACCGCTACAAGACTACGTGCCAATAGACCAATAAGATCCCGGTAGGCCAAAAATCAGAAGGCAGATGATAGTAGTAGTCGTAATATATTTGTTGGCAATCTCGTGGTATCGAAAGAATACCGAGATCGTGCCAAAGGAGTACAAGTGCGATCGGCAAGAAAAGATACGTGCGTAGTCGAAAACCGCGTAGAAGCAATGGAAAACAATGGAAGACTAAAAATGGCTGTTATTAGCACAGTTAAACGAACGAGCACAGTAAAACAGTCACTGGTATAATTGGTTATAATAATAATTGTTTTCATCGAACCAATCGCGTTCTGTTGACAAAAGTAGGTCACTACAGGAGCCCCCCGCTAGAAAGGGTTTACACTTTCGATAGTTAGCGGTTTGATTCGTGGGACTGATCGGCAGAAGTGCGGTTGTAGGACGGAGGAAATTGGCGGAACAGGAAGTGATCGTTGATCCTCGAGTTGCCAACGAAGGTCTTTTGCGCAGAACGGTACCAGGAGGAGTGTGCTGTATTTGTTGGTCGAATTAGCATACCACACCAGAGTGGTTTGTATCTAGAATCTGACGATTGCGTTCGTAGGGATGCGAACCAGAAAACGCTGCAGACGTAGGACGAAACCACGTTGAGCCAAGAAACCGGACGCGACTATAACGACCAAGCGTATGCCAGGCGAATTCGAGACCAGATAATCGACTGAGTGCGTTGACTAGAGCATGGGTGGCCAAACCAGCTTTTGCCAAAATTGACTGAAGTCGACATTATCAAACTGGCGATGGTCGGAGGCGTGGGCTCAGGATACAAAAAAAAATCAAAAAAAGAAAAGTGTAGCATGCGTGTAGTATAGGAATAATCCTACACCGTATCCGTTATTGACTGTGCGTTTAGTCGCGAAAGCGTACGGGTAATCGTACTCGGCGACCGGAACGTGAGAATGTGGTCTCGTTCGTACTTCGTGAGCATGCGATCTCATCCGAGGTCAAGGGCGGCGTGGTCTGCTGATCTGGACGTGAGACGGAAGTCTCGTCCGTAGATGGTGCAGATGACGCGTGCTGTTGATCGGGACGTGAGAACGAGGTCTCTGATGTATCTAGCGTGGGATCCGAGGTAGACGTAGAGATCCCGCTGGAAGGTTTGGTAGGTCTAGCATTGAGTCTCAAGTTATCGAGTAGGGCACTGTCATCGACGTGTGCTGGTTTGAGACGATCAATGCTGACGATCTCGACGCGGCCGTGTCGATCAACCTTGAAGGTCTTTTCGTGACGAGAGATCACGTGAAAAGGGACTTCGTAAGGCTGTTGTAGAGGTTTGCGTACCGAATCTACTCGTATGAAAACATGTGAACAGGTTGATAACTCTCGAGGGAGAGCGACCTGGCGATGTTGTATTCGAGTTGACACCGGAGACAGCGTTCCCATAAATGCAGACAGTCGATGGACGTAGTCTGATTTACCGAAATCATTACTGCTCCGTGGTGTGAAGAATTCCCCAGGCAGACTCAATGTCTTGCCGTATACAAGTTCAGCGGCGGAACATTGGATATCTGCCTTTAAACTCGTTCTGATGCCTAAGAGAAGGAGCGGTAAGGTTTCGTACCAATTGTCGTTTTCGTGTGCTCGAAGAGCACTTTTAAGTTGGCGATGAAACCTTTCGACTAAACCATTCGATGCTGGATGGTAGGCGGTAGGGCGTATGCGTTCCGTACCAAGCAGTCTGGTCAGTGAGGAGAATAATGCGGACTCAAATTGTTGTCCTCGGTCAGTCGTGACAGTCGAGGGACAACCGTACAATGCTATCCATCGTTCTACGAAGCGGTGAGCAACTGTCTCCGCCGTGATAGACGTGATGGGAATAGCTTTGGGCCATCTTGTAAAACGGTCGATGCACGTGAGTATGTGATCATACCCATGCGATGGTGGCAATGGTCCTACAATGTCTATATGAACGTGATCAAGGCGAGCATCAGGCGTAGCGAATGTGCCAATAGTGGCAGCTACGTGCCTGTGCACTTTTGATCGTTGACACTGTAAGCATTGGTTTACCCACATACGAACATCTTTATTCATGGACGGCCAGACGTATCGTGCAGCGATGAGGCGTAATGTGGCTGCGATACCTGGATGAGACAATCCATGAAGGGCATCGAAGACGAGACGGCGATAGGTAGAGGGTACGATGGGTCGAGAGAGACCGGTAGAAATATCACATAGGATAGTACCTGAGCTAGTAGCTAGGGGTACTTCCTGACACTGAAGGGACGAAGATTGTGGTGCTTCTGTACAGACAGGATCGTTTGCTTGCGCGGCCGCCATAGCAGGAAGATCGAGCACCGGTAAGGTAACTGCATTCGTCTGGATACGTGAAAGAGCATCGGCAACATAGTTCGACTCGCCTTTAATGTGACGAAGGTCTGTCGTGAACTGGGAGATATAGTCCAACTGTCTGCACTCTCGTGGTGAGTAGCGGTCAGACTTGGTATGCAGGGCATACGTTAAGGACTTATGGTCGGTGAATAAAATGAATTGGCGTCCTTCTACTGCGTGCCGGAAATGTTTGATGGCGCAGTAGGCTGCGAGCAGCTCGCGACCAAAAGCGCTATATCTCGTCTCCGTGGGAGTAAGGCGTCGTGAGGAAATTTCGAGCGGTTGCTAACTACCGGACATATTCTGCTGCATAACGGCTCCTATGGCAAAATCTGATGCATCAACCGCTATACTAAGCGTGGCTGATGGGTCAGGATGAGCGAGAAGTGTAACTTCAGAGAGAGCCGTTTTGATCTCTGAGAATGCAGTACGTGCGGTATTGTTCAATTCTAATTTGCGTGGATTACCGCGTAGTAAATCGGTTAATGGTCGTAATCGTTCTGCCGCGTGAGGGATAAAACGTCGGTAGAAGTTAAGCAAACCGAGAAAAGCCTTCAGTTCCT